GACTAAAGATTACATAATTTTACAGAAATGCAAGGGGCCAGGGAGACGGCTCAGTAGAATAAGCGCTTGCCTGGCAAGTGCAAGGGTCTGAGTTCAATCCCCAGTTCTGCAAAAAAAAAAAAAAAAAATAGAAATGCAAAATTATAACTGTAGCGACCCTCTTCAAAGTCTCCATCACTCGTTACATAAATGTGAAAATATGTGCCTGGACCATTTAAATAGGCAGCAATTGCATCAGTATCTCTTTCAATTGCTGTCACGCAGAGAAGCATTTTTCACTTTAGGGGGCTAAACAGCGAAGTCAGTTAAGTTCTAAGCAGAAGCAAGAAAATCTGAACATTTGAGATGTTAGCACAACTCTTCTTCACAGTATGGGTAGAAATGTATAGGCTCTACTGTAGGCTCATGGGGTAAGTTCAATTACTTGCCACATTTTTATTTAAGTTGAGCAGTGATCAGGATAAATTCTCAGGGGCATGTTTTACGAAATTCTTGGTGTATTTTCTGTCTACACAGTGGAAGCTAAAGGAACAGATCTCCACTAATCTCAAAACGCAGGAAAAGGCTGGGTGGAAGTCCAGTTTGGAGTGATAAAATAATCCCAGAATATCTCTGCTTGGCACCCTTGGTTTAACTTTAGAGAGCAAATACTCTTTAAATATCCCTAGAACAAGTATCTTATGCTCGAATCTGAGTCACATGCATTTTTCAGTCATCAAGGAAGGATGAGGAGCCCAGGCCCTTCTCCTCCTCAACAGAAACTCACAAGATGACTTTTGGAGCTCAGCAAGCTGGAGCTGGAAATGTATGGCTACCCTGGAAACACATCTCAGAGAAGCCAGAGCCTTAAACTGTGGGACAACAGTGCTCACTCACAGGGTGACCACCTCAGAAATGCTCTGGGATGCATGAGCTCTCTAAGGGAACTCATTTGCTAAAAATTACCACGTAGTGGTGCCACCTGCTTGGCTTCTAAAAATCTTGGCTCTCCTGATAGCTTATTCTGGTTCTGGCCTCTTCATCCACCCCAGCGCTCACACAAGGTGAAGAGCTGCAGTTACCATCTGTTGGGTCTAATTTGTGTAAGAATATTAATAACCATAGTGACCTCAAAACTACCTGTGCCTCCATTTGTAATTCACATCTTGGTGTTGCCCACCCAGGATGAGGACCCCAGGAAGGGACTTATTTAGTACTTCAAAGGAAGGTGACAGGGACTCTGAGCCATTTTGCCCCTCAGAGGGCACTCTGCATTCATGTTCAGGGCCAAATGGAAAGGACTGTGAGGCCACTCGAGCCTGTTCCAGGAGCCCAGAGAGACAGCTGTACTGAATGCCTCCTGGGACCTTCATGAAAGCTATGTTCCTCTTACCTTTCAAAGAATTAGTTTGCATAGACAATGGCTAGACAAGCAACTAGCTTTTGGCTGATTCTGGTTTTGGGCTTCAGTTTTTCCTTTTTTCATTCAGCTCTCACAGGCCACAGGGTCTGAGCTGTGCATCCCCTGGAGGATTCCTAGCTCCACCCTCTTCACTGTAGTTGCCATTCCTAGTTGGTTTGCCAATCCCAGAATCACCATTTGCCCAGCATACCAATTCCTTTAGGATCCAAGACACTGAAGTGAATTTTCAATTTGATTCTTCCTACAGTGAATGACTGTAACCTGAACATGTTTCTTCCCTGGAAACTAGGGATTTTTTTTTTTTTTTTCCTCCTCGAATGCCTTCAGGGCACTTTTGACTGGCTGCAGGGTTGTGGGGATCGAACTACAACCACCTGAGGCTGACAGCTCTGTGGAAGCAGCCACTTCCCTGGAAACTAATACTGTAGTGTGTTCAGAAGTTGGACAATGGCAGAGAGGAGTTTCACCAGCTCTCATGAAGCCCCTGAATCCCAGAACCAGCAGCGAGTCTCAAGCCCCACTGCTGGCTGTGGCTGCCCTCAAAACTCAAGACCAGGGGTCAGCAGAGGTCGAAACACACACCCATAGCTCCGCCAGGGAGAGCTGCCCTGAGCATTACTGTTTCTTCTCAGAGTAGTTTAGATAGATTCCTCCTCAAGTAACTGGCTACACAGGAGCCTTGAACTTCTGCACATTGTTATACTTAAGGTTCTACCAAGAACGGACTCTTCCTCAGACCCAATGAACCCTTTTATGCCTAGTATTCCAATTTTGGAATGTCACAGAACAGTAGAACATAATAAAAATTTTTGTCTTCAAATTCTTGTTTCTTGAATTTTTCTAGGTAACATGTGACAATCTCTAGCCACCCAGGTGCTGCACAGGAAGAGAAGAAGTGGCATAAAGAAACTCAAAGACAGGATAGGTCTCTGCTCTGAGCTCTTAGTGCCCAATACCTATTTTTCTGCACATTAAGTCCATCTGAAAATCATCTCAAAAGAAGAGGAGAAAATAGAGGGAAAGGAATCTCAGAGGAAAAGACTGCTGGGCTAGGGGGAGCAGACATGTCAACTGCAGCTTGGTGAGGACTGGGCGCCATACGGGGCATAGAGCTCAGCATTCTCCTCTCTTCACTATATTTATAAGGTACAGTGGCCAAGAAGGACATGAGAGGGTGACCCTACCCTTTCCCCTGGGAAGCATGGAAGCTCCTGATGCAGAAGTCTGTCCTGTGTATGAAGGGGTCTTCCCAAAGGCAACTGGGAAACAAAAGTTCCTCTTAAACTTGATCTTACTCACATCAGCCCAAGTCAGGGGTGACTTAGCTCTTGCGTCCTGTCAGAATTTGAAGGGAAAGAAGTGTAGGCAGGGCAATAAGGAGCTTGCTTCCCTGACCCACTCCAGTCAGTCCTGGGTAGATGTAAGAAAATTTTCAAGACAGCTTGAGTTTGGAAATTTAACTTCCTAGATCCGCATAAATGCTGGAGAACAAGTGAGTGCTGGGTCAAAGGACAGATTTATTTCCTAAATCTGCTAAAGAGGTTGGAGGTTTTCTCTGAGCACCAATTTTCTCCATATTGGAAAAGAAATGAGAAAATGAAAAGTCTAAAATAATATTACAAAACATAAGGGAGTGGAGTGACAAGCTCCAGAAAAGGGGTTTTAACTTTCTAGTATGAAGTCTAGTGCAGTAGCCACCAGCACCAGAGGAGCTAACTCTTAGCTGAGGTTCATTTCCCCCGAGAGCCTTTGCTGTTGTTCTTGGCCATGGTGTACTGCTGCTCTTAGTGGCTGGTGCTGGGAAGCAAACCTAAGGTCTTGTGCACACTGGCTAAGTGCTCTGCCTCGGAGCTACGCCACCCCCAGCTGAGGACCTTTTACTCTAGTGATGTTGGTTTCTCTGATTCTCACGACTTTACGAATTGTAGCTAAATAAGACAGGATTTCAGAGACAGGAAGTCATCCCACTTGATGCTGCGAGAACTAGATTATATGACTTTCCAAAATTTTTGCAATGTTTTGAAAAAGTACGATCTTTCAAGGATATGTATTAATTTACACAAATGACCAAAAGTGAGCCGAAGCAACTGCTTATAAAACAGCTAAGACACCTTACTAGTAAAGCAGTGAGAATGACTTTATAATTTGAGAAATAATTATAGCAGATAATGTTTCCATCTGTAATTCAGTATTCCAAAGAAACAAAATATTAACAAATCATTCTTAATACATAATTCACTTTTATGTTAGTATTGCCTGGTCGTGATCCAGATAGACCAGTATTTACTGATGTTGTAACTTATGACACTTTTTTTTATCCTGTCCTTTGTATTATTTTGGCATGAAAAAGAGGAAGCAAAAGATCCTAAGTTCTCTCTTGCTCTTTTTTTTTATTTCTTGGTACCAGAAATTGAACTCACCACCTTGTGCTTGCCAGGCAGGTGCTTATGCCACTAAACTATATCCTCAGCCCATAACTTCTCATTTTAAATATGACCATACTTGGGGCTAAGGAAACAAGAATTAATCCAGTGACTGTTTCTAAATTCCCAATGCTTTAGCATGAGCCAGAAAGATGAATTTTAACATGAAGATGGAAAGAAACCCTTTAACTCTTTTTTCCTAAGAGGAGCCGGGGATAATGTCCGGAGGGACTGTGGTTTAGATTACTTATAGATAACCACCACCACAGCAGCGTTTATGTTGGCCGTGCTGGATTTACCCTCCTTTAATCTCTCACATGACCTAATTAGACATGTTCTCTGTGTGTCTCCAGAGGAAAATTGCTGATAATGTCAAAGGCAAAATGCTGAGTGTGTTTTGGTGCTTCTCCGATTCCATGGCCTCATTATGGCCATCTTTAAAATCACACTTTTGGGAACGTGGCATTAAACAGGTTTTAATGTTTCTCAGTGAGGAGTGAACCATTTCCTATCAGTTAAAACAAAACAAAAAACCTTTACTTCCATAAAGCCCAACACTAATGCCTGTAATTTTGCCATCTGTAATGTCTTCGCTTATGGGTAGACTTATTAATAAATACCTCCTGACTACTTAATATTTCTTCTTGCAGGCCTTATTACTTACAGAGTTTTGTATTAATCTCTTGAGGTTAATGGGACCAAGACCACAAACTTGGTCCCTTATGCACCAGATGCTGGTCCTCCACAGCCCTGGAGACCAGATGGCCTCAAGCCAGCAGAGGAATGTGCCCAACAGTGTGTACAGAGGGAGCCACACACCTTCTGGCATGAGTCGCTGCCCTGACACTCCTGGCTTGCACTGTATCACCCCAATTTCTGTCTCTGTGACCACACTGCCCTTCCTCTTCTACTGTCTTTTCCATGTGAGCCTCTCACAAGGGGCCCATTTACAAGGACACTTGCTGTTGGGTTTGGGGTCCATTGAGATCACACAGGCAGCTCTCCTCAAGATGCTAAATTAATGACATTTGTAAAAACTCTTTCCAAATAAGATTACATTGACCTATCAGTGTGAGTTAGGACATAGATGGATCTTTTATGAGAGCCACCATTCAACCCATTGGCACAGGACAAATTTAAAATGGCGATGGTTAGTAGCCTGGAGGAAGATTTCTCAAGTCTGTGTTGCACAGCTGACATTTCTTTCCTTGCAAGATCTGGAACATTGTGGCTTTTTCGATGTGATCTTAGGGAGGCTCTTGGTTAAGTACATTCATCTGTTTTACGGTTTGTGTCTAGTTGTCCCTCCCCCCAAAGCCTCATGCAGTCTTGGGGTGGCTTCTGGAGTTTGTGATTGATTACTGTGGGTGTGGATACTGTATCTGCCCTGGGGAAGATAATCTGCATTGCAGCGTAAGGCAGAGAGAGAGGCTGGCTAGCTGCCTGAGCTCCTGCCACTTCCTTGGCTCTCTGCTCTGTGCCAACAAGAGCAATATTTTGATAGAAAAATATATTGCAAATTCAATCTGGACATCTTTTCAGAGAAGAGCAAGTTCTGTAATGTCAGTACCTTGGGACAAGACTATTCGTTTGGGCCTTCTTCTAGGGTTGTCTCAATATTTTCATCATGGTGGCGTGCCACTGTACACGAATGAGATCTGCCTCCTGGGATCTGCATGGTTTCCAAGCAATCTATTTCTGATATAGAATAAGCAGAATTTTTTTAAAAAAATCTTTTTTTAAAATCCATGTTACTGTGAGAAGGAATAAGCTCAGAACTGAAGAGGTTGGTTGGTATCCATTTAACACGGTTCAATTAAGGATCTGTACCCCAAGGTACAAATTGCTGCTTTTAGTTCCATTTCTAGCTTAGTCACCCTAGATATACAACCACTTTTAATAGCATTGCACCATCACAAGTGACTTTAATTACTGTTTGGTAATCTTATCTACTTACACCAATATTAATTAAATCCATCTTGATGGGGGTAAGAGGGAGTTGTCCCGAAATATGGTGACTGATAAAAGTAAAAATCTAAATCTTTACTGGAGCTAATTTTCATAGACCTTTCTTTCCTGAAGACAGAAGGAGTTGTTTACATTAATTCTAAAAGTAGAACCTATTTTTTATGATCGGCTTCAGTGCCTCCTATTATAGTCAGCCGACTCCCAAGTGGAACTGATCTCCCACTCCTCTCAGGACACTGGGACTGCTGAGGCTTCCTACCGCCTCTTCAGGTTTCACTCTGTCCTCAGAAGCAGGGGGAAAAGCTTACAGAGGACAGCTCCCCTGATGCTAGGCTTTATAACCAGGGCGCATTGCGCATCGAATGAAGTGTGCCATTACCCTCACTCCCATGAACCTGTCTTTCAGCACAATCCACGACAGCAAGAAGACAAAGGCTTTGTTACAACAGAACAGAGCAGAGACATCCGTGGCCGTCAGCTTCTTTAAAGCCAGTAAATACAGGTAATTTGTCAAAGTCCATAGGATAGAAAAGGGAGCAGTTCTTTTAAGAAAGAGCTTCAGTGTCAGACCATCTTCACCAAAGATCCGACTGCATTCCCTAGGAAAGACAAAGAGGTTAATACACAGGTAGCTAATGGTCACCATCTTGTCTGCCTGACTCTTCACAGTCATTTTCAGCAGATCACAAATGCTTGAGGCCATCAGACATCTGTGGGACACAGGGAACCCCACATAGGCTTCACAGAGCAAGATGCTCTCCTCCCTAGAAACTCTCTTGGGAAGACCAGGGCAGCCCTTCCGCTGCCGTGAACATTCTTGAGGAAGCCTGGAGAAGCACTCGAAAGAGAACTTACTGAGATCACTAGAAATTGCAAGAGGCTCAAGGTTTTCTCCAACAGGTGAATGTGACAGGACCAAGATGCTACAATGTGACCAGCCTCGGGTGACTCAGAATTCTGCAGGAGGGGGACTGCCATCTGTGGCTGAAGCCACACACACCTTGGGGCTCTGTCATTCCTCAGACACTCCTTCTTCCTAATCTATTTGCTCAATTGACTACTTTCTTTTCCTGCCAGAATTTTTAAGGCACAAAATGATGAAAGTTTCTATGATAACTAAAAGTAGTGAAAACCAAGTGTGAAGCTTAGGTTGTACTTTATGCACGCACTGGCCATTTGGGACAACTCACCTGAATTCACTGTGTGAAAATAGTCACTTGGATTAAATCTTAATTGGTTTGATATCTGATTAAATTGGCTATTTAGTTCAAGAGCTCATTTTAATCAAAATACTCAGCCCAGCGATATACAGCAATACTGGAAGTGATACAATGACAATGTCTATTCTATTATTGCCTGAAACAGACTTGCCAGTGAGCAAATTTAGCTTTGCTTTCTCAGTTATTCATGGACATTTAAGCAAGTATAACATGCCAGGCAGTATATTTTCAAGTGTTGCATACATCTCATGTTCAAAAAAACAAGTTAATAACATTTGAACATATTCATAGCAGAAATTATTTACATAGCTCTAAGTAGTACTGCTACCAGTTTCTCTTCTAGCTTTCCTGCTTTTGTGTGTGTGTGTGTGTGTGTGTGTGTGTGTGTGTGTGTGTCAACTCCAAGAGTGCTGGGATTAAAGGAGCTCCTGGCCACGCCTTCTGTTCCAGCTTTTACTGAAAAGGTATCACTGGGTCTCAAAGGATTGCAAAGCCAAGCCATCTCCACTCAGTGCTTGCCTCTTGTTGATAAAGTAGCCCCCCCACAGGCGGCCCCACAGAGTGAGGGTGCTGTAAAGGCTCTCATGGCAGAGAGCAGAGCTTTCAACACTGGGTCTTGGTAAAGGCTGCTATCAAGTGGCTGAGGATGCCGGGAGTTGTGCGTCAGCAATTCCAAGAGGATTAGAAACGCACACTGCACACACAGAGCTTTGTGTTGTGGTTTTGCTTTTACATGAGACAGAGGAAAGGAGGATTTTCATAACATGAAAATGACATTTCTCAAAGGTAAATTTTACTTAATATTTATTTTATTTATTTATTTATTTTTTCTTGGTACTGGGAATCAAACTCAGGCCCTAACACTTGCCAGGCGGGCACTTACACCACTGAGCTATCTCTCCAGCTTTCAAAGGTAAATTTTAACTTAACAGAGACATAACTTCAGTAAAGGGATTAAATAACTTAAGAGCAAAGCTTTCTTTAAATTAAACAAAAATTTCATGTGGTCACATGAACAGGGACATGAATGGCTGCTCTGGAATCCAACGGCCACTTCCGGGAATTCTGGGCAGCATCACTAAGGACAAAGAGCAGTGCTCCTAACCATCCTGGGCCTAACGGTCATGTTCTGTCCTCACAAAGGGACACATTCCATGAGAAAGCCGTCGCAGAGAGCTGGTGCTGAGGGTTGAGGGCTTATTCTGTCATCCATAACCACTGAATGCCTCTGTCAATACACTTTAACTAATAACCACCACAAACCCATTTCTGATGAAAGGATTTCTTTTTCTTATTGCTGGCTTTAGCCGGTAATTATTCTTCCCACTTGGAGTCCACCACCATAGTGGCTTGCGTGCTCACACGCAAGTGTGGAATGGCGGGAGGAATCTCACAGTCCTAGTCGGACCACCTGTGCCAGTGCAGCTGCCTAGGAAAGCTCTCACACGTCCGCTTCCTCACCACCCTCCTTTCTTTGCCCATCTCCTCTGCTGCCAACATCCTCCTGGTGGTCACTGCTGTTGCAGGAATTAAAAATAATTATCCAAGGGCCAGTCTCCAAGGTAACCAGGTCACCATGTAAGCATTAAGTGTTAAGAAATGTGAACACTGAAAGACCGACTTTTACAGGCAGGAGGTAACCACAGGTCTCTCTAGGATGATAAGAGCAGAAGGCAAATCTTGGAATAAAGTGTGGAAAGTGGGAGAGTACTGATAACTTCATCATGGTCATCATTACAGCACATGGTAGCTGTTGAGCTCTTTCCATACCTCAAATAGTATCCTAAGCACATTTTACAGTTGCCTGACACAGACAGTAGTGTAGCACTACTCCAATTCATTCTGCCTAAAGATTTTCTTCCTAAGAAAGCATCCATATTAAAAAGCAATGTATAATCTTTACTTTCTAAATTTCAAATTCACCTGAGGCTGTTGAATTCAGTTAACATATAATTGGAATAATTGAGTCACCAAAACTACTTCCAAACTGACAACCTTACCGTCTAGATTTGATACTTTGTTGAAAATTCTTTTGATGACAGCCAAGAAAAAAACTCAAATGCTTTCATACTGCTCAAGAGAAAAGTAGTCAGAAGTTCTTGCGCTGGGGAACAAATTGTGTTTCCAGTCTTCTGCACTAACTCTATTTCCCCCTCATTCAGACTCGAGAGCTTTGGGAGTCCCTCCTTGGCAGATGCTATTAATGAGTCTACAGGGAAAAGAGATCAAGGATCTAAGAATTCCTGACAATGTTTGCTACCCATTTTGCTCTCATTGGAGAATGAGCCCTTTCAAAGACAATTTTTTCTACTTGATGACAGAAGCTCTTTGATTGGATTTCAGAAATGGCCAATTTCACTCTACCCTAATAGGTGGAGATGTCTTGGCAAATCACAGAACTTGCAAAGTTCAGAGTTAGCTCATCATGAGAGACAGGGGAAAGATGAAGTTTATGTCCCTAAACCACACTTCCATCAGCAGCAGCTTCTTGCAAGTGTGTCATCTTGGATAACAGTAGCGTGGCTTACTTCAGAGGTTCTCAAGGTTCTACTCCACTCCCTCACTGTCTCTTTTGTTGATTTTATCCCTGTACGTGTCAAAACCAGCACAGCCTTAGAGTAGAACACACAGCCTATCTAATGCACAAGCCAAGCTCAAACAGGGACAACGGCAGTCTGATAACAACACTGCCCTGTGCTTATATATAAAGTACTGTCCTTTAACACACATTCACACCAGGATTATATCTATTTGATGGGACTTGAATACCAAATGTCTTTAGAGGTCACAGACAGATACAGGTTTTCTTTCTTCCAAAGTGCACAACATAGATTTTTTTTTTTAAAGTTTCTTAAACTATAATAAAGTTTTCATGGCTATCCATAGAAAATCAGTTCATAGAATAACTCTAACATTCCCTATTACCAAATGGAAAATGAAGACAGACCCACCACCATTTAAGTGTTCAAGAATACTTTGTCTAATGCATCAATTATAATAGTCATTCCTTATGCTTGTTACCCCAAGTGAATTAGATGTAGGGATGACAAGAAAGGTTATTTTGGCTGCTGCAGGAAAAATTTTGTTGTCATTCTGCTAAGGAGCAATACAGTTTCCCTGCCATCTGCTAGCCACTGAGGTCTCTGGTTTTCTCTGTGACGACAGTCCGAATGACTAATTGTCCTCAAAGTTACTCCTTTTCCTGGGATTTGTCCTTTGGGGCAAGGTGTCCTAACAAAACAGCTCCACCCCAAGTGCTGCTTCTTTTGCTTTCCTTGGGGTCTGCTCATGCTGGACTAGATTAGTCCTGCTGCTCCCCTGAGGTTAGCATGGAGTGACCACTAGAGTGCTTAGCACGGAGTGACCACTAGAACTAGAAGAGCTCAGCATCTCCAGCTGCACCTGTGCAGCGCTGGGGCTCAGACCAGCTCCTGGGTGCCCCAAGCCATAGACAATGGCGCCTGTTAATGTGTCCCAGGCCAGAAGTCCCTCAGCAGAATCTGAGGTCCTTTCCCCACTCGAGCAAGGGAGTGGTGGGAACAGTGTGCAAATGTTTGTGTAACAAGTACTCTTATGAGCGCGTACATTTTTTTCTGAACTTGGGACACTGCAATGTTTTTTTAAAATACGAATACCAAAGATAAAAAAGATACAGATGTAAATCATGGCTTCATTATTTATAACTGAGCTTGGACAAGTCATTTAACCTTTCTGAATCTGTTTGCTGTTATGGCTAGTGGCACCATCTCAAAAGGCGAATGTTGTTGCCACCAACAATGATGAAATCAGATGAGAGATACAAAAGCACCAGCACAGTGCCTGGCATGCACAAGTTGATGAAAGTGAGGCATGATTTTGCCTTTGAGTGTTCATTTTCCATCTCAGCTCCTGCTTCTCCACCCTTCCCATGATGAACACATCTAGGAGTGTGCATATTTGCATAAAAATATTTTCAAACATCTCCCAGCAAGCTTTTAACATTTTTACCTACCTGAATTTTTTCATTGGAGATTGCTTTTCTTGAGCAGTGGCCAGATGCCCAGAATAATAGACTGGGAAAAACATAATGTTCCAGTTTGTTGAAAACCATGTCATGAAAAATGGACAGTAGAAGTTCTTGTAAGTGATTTTTACAATCTGTGTGGTTCCAACCCAAGAGGATGACACTGACAAGATGATCAAGAGTCCCCAGACGGCCTTCAGAACCACCGCTGTGCAGGACAGGCAGCGAGCCTTGAGTCTGTTTCCTTGGCTGTTGTTCTCAGGGTGAGTCTGAGTGCCATCATCCCCTGCACACAAGAAAGGAATACAAAAGGCTGGAAATCAGATTATGAAACAGCAATCAAATGCACCAGCTCTTTAAGAAGATGAGTGTAACCAGAGAAGTTGACAGCAGAATCACTCATGCTGGCCCCGCAGGTGCAGTGTACGGTGTACGGTGTACGGTGTACAGTGTACGGTATACGTAGGCGGTCACCAGCATGTGAGGGTGTTCCTGCAACAGGCAGACACTGTGCTCTTCCCGGGTGCTGCCCCCTTCCGGAAAGTGTTACAGACTCAGCCCTGAGAAGCTTTGGCCTGGGCATGGGATTTGCAAGCCTACATGAGCAGATGAGAGATGAGCCACGATCCAGCAGGAACTCAAAAGAGGCATGCAAGACCCCAGCAGCTCCTTTACTGCTCCCCTCTGCACTGAAATGGAAAATCCCAAATGCAAGGTTTCTTTCAGTCAATGTAAAGGAATGAGCAGAACCCAGCTGAACAACCCTGTGTTCACCAACATGAACAGTGAGAAAGAAGCATTTGGTTTTATATTCCACTGAGATTTTCTTTTTTAGTTTAATGAGTATTGAACCCAAGTTGTTCATACTGAGCTATAGTGTTAGTCCTTTGCATTTTGACACAGGGTCTTGCCAAGTTGGTAAGCTGCCCAAGATGGGCTTGAACCTGTTATCTCCTGCCTCACCTTTCCAGAGTGCTGGGATGACTGGTGTGTACCACCGAGCCAAGTTTCACTGACATCTTTTTAAAAATGGCTGCAAAGATGATTATTAAATTGAAAAGTGATGTGTCCTATGCACAGAGAAAGTCTTCACTACACCAAGTCATTTCTTTCCTCACAACAAATTGCCATTTGATATATTTCTGCGAACACGATAGGCTCTGCTTTGTATCTTTACATTTATTAAGAAATTTTAGTAGCATTTTTTCACATTAAAATAACCAAAGCTCTCTGAAATTAGCAATTATAAAATCCTAATAGAGAAAATAAGTTCAGCATAATGAATTCATGTCTCTATCAGGAAGCTGAATAGGATTAGAGGTGCCCCAAGTCCCCGAGCTGAGATCCAAGTGGTACACTGTTGGGGAAGGAAGGATTATTTATGACATTGTCCTGTGCCTGTGGGACTTCCCATGAGCACAGGCTCCATGCTGGTGGTGGCAGGGAGTGGGCTTCTCACTCTGCTTCTCCAGAACCCACTGGTCTGTGGCCAGCTGTACCTGGTCTACATGTGATTAATGTACTGGGTTACAAATCACTACCTGGTGAGGCCTTTTGAGGCCTTCTGGGCCAGCATTTGGGGATGCAAGCTTACAAAGTGAACTCCTTCTTTGGGAATACAAAGTAAGTATGAACACAGTCATTCTGGCATGATTTGTAAGTCTTGTGCAAGCACTAAATTCTCAAGGCTTGGAGCTCTGGAAGATGAAACCTGCAACTCCTTTATCTAGTCAACACATCTTTCAGAGACTGTACCAGGAGCTGGTGAGGTAGCGAGGTCCCCAGCTAGCTGAAAGACTTCAGCTCACAGTCTAGTGGAAACCCAGAACACACATCCAGTATCAGAGGATGCGGGCCAGCTCTGAAGATGTAAAGCCACATAAGGCAGAAAAGCACTTGCTAAGGGCTGGGATGGGAAATGGTCAGGAGAGACTTCTGTGGGGCACTGACGCAGAGCTCCGTGTGGAGGCCGGAGGGAGCCAGCTGCTGGGACTGGCTACAGAGCCCTCCTTCGCTTGAAGGTGGCACTGGACATGTGGTCTAAGCTCATGTGCTTAGATGGGGATGGGAAGGATGAAGAAGTAAGTAGGACGAGAGGCCTCCATGATGGGAGGTGGTGAAAGGAACCCAAACTACCATATCTGCTGGTACTGGCATGGGAGTTCAGTTTCCTCCTCTTTATGGATGAAGAAACTGAGGCTTGGGTTACGGGTTCCCAAGTTGGCCCCAAGTCCACTCAATACAACCACAGGGTCCCAGATTTTTAAGTCATGAGCATGCATGCTTTTTAGATTGTCAGCATTTACCTTTTTATTTGAGCACTGGAAGTTTCACAAATGCTATAGAGAAAAATCTGTTTTCTGGCCGGCGTGGCAGTCTTTCATGAGGCTTAACAGTAGTGACACTAAGAGGGAAAAAGCGTGCCCTGACACGTCAGGTGTTGTACCTACCTAGGACCAGCTCATAAAGAGGGAGCGATTCTGTGCGGACTGTAAGTGTCCCCTGGAGAGGCAGCAAGCCGCCGTCATCGCCTTCCGGAAGACTGCTTCTGCAACCCTGTCATGCCACGGACAGGACCTCTGGTAACATTGGTAATCACCAAAATATCTCCATAGTTTTGACCAATTTTTGTTTCTGGTAGGAAGATTTAGTTATTGCCAATTCTTTAATTTTAAAACATAGGGGGGCCGGGGAGATGGCTCAATAGAATAAGCACTTGCCTGGCAAGCACAAGGGCCTGAGTTCAATCCCTGGTTCTGCCAATAAATAAATAAATA